CTTTCCCTAGATTTTCTGGAGTTTTGTGGTATTGTAACAAATAGCTTAAAAAGCCTAAAGAAAAATGGTGGTTTTCATTTGAGTTTCTTGAAAGTATTTCCATTTTCTAAGCTTCACTAAAAGCAATTATATTAGGGTTAGACAATCATGTACTAGAATTATTCTAAGGTGTATTCTCTGTTTACAGAATGAAGTAATTGCTGTTTTCTTGTTGTTTTGTTGGGTTTTTTTTTCCTGGGTGTAATTGCTGTTTTCTTGTTGTTTTGTTTTTTTTTTCCTGGGGTTTTTTGTATTTTTTTTCCCTGAAGTAACATTATAATAACAGAATAATCTGGCTTTTTCTTAACAGGTACAAGGAGGATTGGTAAACTACGAGCCATACACAGGTAAACCATTTTTTTGTAAATACTCTACAGAAAGGTTTGAAATTGATTGTAAAAGTAATGTCCAAATGAATTCTAAATACATTTTCTTTTCCACAGAGCTGAAGAGTATACTAGGTCACAGTGGCAAAAGAAAGGCTCCTGAGCTCCTTTCTGATGGACCTTCTTTCAAACGCCAAGCTAATGTTCACACACATCTCTTGGTAAGTCTGTGGTATTTTTTTTCCATGCCTTTATTTTTCAGTTTGCTTTGTATGATTAGAAACCACTAGATTCAACTATACCTTTAACTTTCTGGAGCTTGTTTTCATTTATTTTTATTTTTTTTTTGTGTCAGACACCTCCCCAGACACCAACTTCTATGGATAACATGGAAGAGGCACATAAAACTGACCCAAAGCATGACAGCAGTTCTGATCTGCTTCAGAACATTATAAACATCAAGAACGAGTCGAGCCCCATTTCTCTGAACACAGTGCAGGTTAGCTGGTTGCACACTGTCTCCAGTCACAGCTCTCCCAGTGAGCAGTACCAGGACAGTCCAGGAATACAGGCTTTCTCCCCATCCCAGAAGTACCAGCCATTCCAAGATCACACCAACCAGCATATGCTTGATCCGCCACAGCATTACCAGTTCCCTCCATCCCAGAACCAAGATTTATCACAGAGTTATCCTTCAGATGCCTCCCTGGAGTACAGGCCGTTTGCTGCCAATGACCAGTCTCCTGCCTACCAGCAGAACACCTTTGATAGCCATGAGCTGCCGTATTGCCCATCCCAGAGCTTCTCCTCCCTCCTGAATGACTCTGAAGGCTCAGAGGGCATCTCCACTCCTCTCCAGCCACTGACAGCTGCCCACCCACAGGCTGATGTTGTCCCCCACGCACCAAACTTCAGCTTACTTTCCAGTAACATCTCTGGTAGTCTGGAGCGCAGTGTCTCATTGGCTGCTTTGAATGTCTCTCTGCCTGACCAAAACATTGCCAGAAGCACGACGCAGCTGGGCAAGTCATTTTTTCAATGGCAAGTGGAGCAGGAGGAAAACAAACTGGCTAACATCTCTCAAGACCAGTTCCTTGCAAAAGACTCTGATGGAGACACGTGAGTGCTGTTTATCTCGGTGGTTCTTATGTGGGAGGTTGGGGAATGTTTCAGTTTGGGTTTTGGTGGGCTGGGGTTATAGTGGAAGCGGTTCATTAGCAGTGTTTGTGTCACAAGTGCAGTAGTTTAGCTAATCAAGTGAAACATGTGGTCTTGCTGCTGACTGCAATGCAGGGAGTTGCAGCACACTGAGTAGGTGAGGTGTTTGTATTGTCTAATTTTGGATACTTACTCTTAGACTTCAGTAAATGGGGAGAAAACCACTGAAATGCTTTAAGTTGCCCTGGTAAGAAAGTCCCCATGTTCTTGTCTTAGTGATGCAGAGGAGGTCTGAAGCTGGCATCATAAGACCATACGATCCATATGTTTGGGTCACTAATGTCTTGGTCCCTGGTTTGTATTGGTGGTGTAACTTTGTTTCCCTTCTTTTCTGCAGCTTCCTTCACATAGCTGTTGCCCAGGGCCGTCGAGCACTCTCCTACGTTCTTGCAAGGAAGATGGCTGCCCTGCACATGCTGGATATTAAAGAGCACAATGGCCAGGTGAGGTTCTCAAAAACCATTGCACCTGCTTTGTGCACCTGAGTGTTGCAGCATGTCTGGACCTTGAGTAAAGATGTGGTGAAATGCTTATTTAATATTAACCCCAAGATTTAGCCTGCATACTAATATTAACCTTGAGCTATTAATACTTCTTGGGATCACCTTGAGCTGGTAAAACTATGTGCTCTGCTTCATTTGTCCTGGCTTCCTAGTACTCATAATCACTGCTTAAATAATACTGGGTAGTTAGGCTTTTTATTTGTTTTAGTTGCTCTTTCCTGTTAGAGATCAGATGACTAATAGCTTAAATTTTCTTCTTGATGTTTGCAGAGTGCTTTCCAGGTTGCCGTGGCTGCCAATCAGCATCTCATTGTGCAGGACTTGGTTAGCTTGGGGGCTCAAGTCAACACTACAGACTGCTGGGGTAGAACGCCGCTGCATGTTTGCGCTGAGAAGGGGCATGCCCAGGTCCTTCAGGTAAGACTCAGGCAGGCACAGCTCTGTCCTGGCTCTTAATGCTTACATTTTGTATTAGTTGTCTTGGGAAACTGAAAACACCACTCCTCCCTTTATCTTTCTCCCTGGGTAGCCTTGTGATTATGTCACATGGCTCTACACTTAAGGTGAGACTGAATTTCACTCTAAGGTTCTCGTCAGCATTTTGGAGTGATTTGGTGGAATCCTTTAGTCTACCAAAACGTTCAGTTCAGAACCTCATCCAACCTGGCCTTGAATGCTTCCAGGGATGCGCTTATTTATTGCAACTTAGTTGCAGTGATACCGTATACAACCCAGAGGAAGCAGCATGTGGTTTGGGTAAGACCTAAATGTGTACCTGTTCCCACTTTTTTAGGCAATCCAAAAGGGAGCCATGGGAAGCAATCAGTATGTGGACCTTGAGGCAACGAACTATGATGGTGAGCCTGGCCTTGAATGCTTCCAGGGATGCGCTTATTTATTGCAACTTAGTTGCAGTGATACCGTATACAACCCAGAGGAAGCAGCATGTGGTTTGGGTAAGACCTAAATGTGTACCTGTTCCCACTTTTTTAGGCAATCCAAAAGGGAGCCATGGGAAGCAATCAGTATGTGGACCTTGAGGCAACGAACTATGATGGTGAGTAATTAAGAGTTTATAATTTACAGAGTTACTGGATATTACAATGTTTTACAGCTGCTGATGTGACTGTTATCTTGTGTTGAGAAGCAATAAAAATGGAGTATTTTTTTGTCAGATTGGAATTTACAGTTACAGTTGACATGTCTGTCAGATAAAAACATGGTGCCTGTCAGGACCTCTTTTCTCTTGCATGTGATTGCCATGTTTGGCATGGAGAGTGGGGGTAGTAATTGGCTATTGTTTAAAACATTTGAGTGCCAGCATTATGCCAGTGGATACAGAAGCCAGAATCTCTGGCACCAAAGTTCTGTTTTATTTGGACCTCTTTTCCATATAATAGCTCTTTCTAACGCATATTTAAAATATATATATATTAAAAGTTGTTTCTTTCATTGTCTGCTGGCTGAGAGCTCACAATAGATTGCTACTTAACTCCTCTGGTGATGGACAAGCTGTATCTCCAGCTGCTTGGCAGCACTCACTGTCCCAAATATGGAACCTTCCCTGGCTTAATGGGAACAGAAGCTCCTTTATCCAAGCCTTCGAAACAAGCAGTCATTCAATACTTCTTTATTTCATTTGTTCATTAATTATGTTTTTTTTTTTTTATGTTAAGGTTTGACAGCATTGCATTGTGCGGTTCTGGCCCATAATGCTGTGCTGCATGAACTGCAAAACAGTCAGCCACCTCATTCTCCTGAGGTCCAGGAGCTTCTGCTGAGAAACAAGAGCTTGGTAGAAACCATCAAGACCCTGATACAAATGGGAGCCTCTGTTGAAGCGAAAGTAAGTAAAATGGCTTAGTCTGAAGTGCCACATCCAGAGAGAATGTGGAAGCAGAACACTTCTCCCTTTCTCCCACACCACATTTCAGCTTGATTACAAAGGAAGTAGACTAATTTGAAAGCTTCCCTACAGCTTAATTTACTCAAATAGAATGAGAATGTTGCATTTATTCAGGGCAAAGTATTATCAATGCAAATGAACCCTGGGGAAAGAGGGAGATGACAGCCTAATTTCTGAATTAAGAATGATGCTGCACTGGCTGCAGTTAGCAGTGTTGTAAAAGTAAGAATATGTTTGGAGCACTCTGAGGTATCTGTAGTAATAGGGTACTGATGACACCTTAACTGCAAATTTTAATTAAAAACTGCTTACCTGTGCAGTTCAGGTCTGTGCTGGGCCAGACCACTACTTAGCCAAAATATCAAATGTTACATTATTGTAAACTTAGCTCCAGATGAGATCAGGTCCATTGTTTGTTAGGTGCTGATATTAAAATATATATTCAGATTGACTTTTGATAAATTGTGGTGCAAATATGGTTGCTCAATACTCTGCAGTTACTTTGCTTTTTTGTTTTATTTGTCTGCATGTTCATCCTGGATAGGTGAAGCACCTGTAGGGAAGACTGACAGTTTTTTTTTTTCAATAGGATCGCAAAAGCGGTCGCTCAGCTTTACATTTAGCAGCAGAAGAAGCAAACCTGGAGCTCATTCGTCTCTTTTTGGAGCTGCCCAACTGTCTCTCTTTTGTCAATGCAAAGGTACGGTGATTTTCACATAGTGCAGATATTATCTGGGATGTGAACATATGTGGCACTGTGAGTGTCTTGAGACTCATGCCCCTTCCCTTCCTTCATGGAGTTACTTTGTCTTCTTCAGGCTTACAATGGCAACACAGCACTCCATGTGGCTGCCAGCCTGCAGTACCGGGTGAGTCAGCTGGATGCTGTCCGCCTGCTGATGCGCAAGGGAGCTGATCCAAGTGCCAGAAACTTGGAGAACGAGCAGCCAGTTCATCTGGTTCCTGATGGCCTTGTAGGAGAACAGGTAAAAAAATCAAAACCAACCCTCTCTTCCCATCTGTCCCTATCTACACAAAGCCTTTGTTCCCCTCCAAAAGTTTCTTCTGGGGTTTGAGTTGCAGGTTTTGAGGTAAAGATGTAGCAAATGCTGTTTTGTTCAGAGATCTTTAGTTTTAATGGCAAGGTCAGGCAGAGTATACAAAGACCTGAAATTTTAGGTTGCACTTGTAGCTTTTATTTTTTCCATCTCAGAAGCATTTTTCCTGTCAAGACAGGCTTTGTTGTAACCTTGAAATCTACTGGAGATAACATTCCTTCTCTTGTTCATCTCGGTATGTCCTGAGATCATGCTTTTGTTGCTCCTGTCATAATTAGTAATGACAGTTCTTAGGCCTCCTATGAGCTATACCAATAACACGATGAAAAAGGTGACTCTTGACCTAGTAAATTAAGCACAACTGAGTTGCTGACTGTTGCCTTTCATTGGTTCGGGTGCTGTAAAATGGGATCAATTCTGGTGTAACTGAACTCAGAACCTAGGCTCAGATAAATGAGGAATGCAAAACCAAGTTTAGGGTGAGGCTTTTTTTCAGATTATGACTCACTTTAGGATGATGAATGCTAATGTTTTTTTGTCTTTTTCTCTTCTCCAGATAAGACGTATCCTAAAAGGGAAGGCGATTCAGCAGAGAGTGTCGCCATTTTAAGCTCCATGTTTCTTGGAGTTCAGCAACTCACACTCACTGTCAGTCAGGCAGTCCTAATGTATCTGTAAATAGACCATTTGCCTGGTGTGGGCAAATGTTAGTTGTTTCTATGAAACAAAAGTATTTTGTTCACTATTATATAGTGGGTTATATAAGAGTTTTAAAAAAAACCCAATGCCCAAACCCAAAAATCAAATTCTTTTAACCAAATGGGAATGTTTCATTCCCACATATGTGGAACATTTGCCTGGATACCTGGATTTCACAGCTACTGATTTTTTTCACAGCAAGACTGATTTTATTTAAGCAGCCATACACATAACTTCTAGACAAGGACAATGCTACAGGAAGTCTTTTTTCAGAGAGGTCTGATAGAGGTCAACATTGCAGAGTTCTTTTGTTGTGTTTTGAATAACACTTAAATATTAAGTGCAAGAGAAATATTTTTGAAGTTGAGCGTTTATTTATGTAACTTTGTAGCTTTCTTCCAGTATCTTGTGCAGGATTGTATATAGTCACTGGCATTATTGTACAGCTGTATAGTTCTAAGAGTGTGTTGATTGCCTGGGGAATGATCTGAAGAAATAAGTTCCTTGATCTTGAACTTGCAAATTGTATATATAGTTTTAATACTACACTGGTGCAAATTGGGTAAATTCTGTTGTTTTCAAAGACTGAAGACTGAAAGCACAGTTAAGACAGGCTGTCCCTAGCACTGATTTGTGCATGCTTTTGGAGTTGTTAGTAAAACGTGAAAAGCCATGCTTCTTCAGGGGACTGCATCAGTGTTTCTCATACCCAGTAGGGGTTTTTCTTTTGATGGAACAATAGATTGTGAGAGAAAGATCATGACTTTTATAGAGTGTATATAACTTTCTTGTACTTTAAGGGATATGATCTCGATTCAGTGCAAGTATTTAGCATGCACTTAACTGTTGATGCATGCTGAAATCTCTCCATGTTAATTATAATACTTCAACATGCTTAAGCCCCACTGGTGTTGGTAGGGCTTAAGCACTACCTTGCTGAATTGGGCTCTAGTTAATTCTAGAGACTTAGTGTTTTACACCTCCTAAGCAGAGTTAGTCCATTTATGGTTTTACCTTATAGGTATAGTGGCTAGCCGAGTAATATTTGAAGTTAATGTTTTTCTATTTTTAATAATTATGATTATTAATGCAAAATATATACTAGTGATGCTGTATACTTGTGTTTTGTGGGAGAAAACTTTCTCCTATCATTTTCTGAATGATGCATGCTGGGCTGTAATCCAGTAGTATGTTCTCTGTATGGTCTTTGCTCTTACACTGTTTTTGCACTACATGCAATTCTCTGCCATAACCATTTAATTAGTCTGATTGTACTGTTTTGACAAAGTATGTCTTGTAGACAAGCTAAATGAAAAAAAATCTGATACGTGGAGGCTTAGTTGCAATGTATTTCTTGAAGGGTCACGTGTAACTTGTATTTGAATAAACATGCTAATTAAATTTTGGTGGTTACTGTCTGCGATACAAATAGTGATGATGAAATCAAGCTTGAGATAAACTTGATTTAGCATTGTAATGCTGTGAGGCTGAAAGGCCATTTGTTAAGAATGAAATTAAGTCTTTCTATCCTGCTGTTTATGCATTCTCTTGTTTGATGCTGGTTTTGAAGCTGGTGCTTGGATGTTCTGGGTCTTGCACTGTGCAGTTGTGTTGCCTGTGTATTTAGTACATGTGTCCCAAATAGAGTTAATAGTCACCAGGTTGTCCAGAACCTGCAGGTTGTTACCTGAACACTTGTCCCTGTATACTGGAAAGAATGATAGCTGTTGTGACAATGTCATGCTTTCCCCAGGACTTCCTTGCCTTGGCCTTCAGTTTTTGGGACTCAAGTACAAGTGTCACCTTAGCACAGGTGGCAGTCCATGTGAGCAAAAGGTGCATGTACATGGGAATGGGCTGTCCTGGCTTCAAAGATAAAAAGAGGGGTCTGAGGTGACAGTGACCATTCAGGAGGAAGGGCTGCTGTCACAGCCTGTCCATGCTGAGCATGGAGCTGGTGTGATGGCAATAGTCGAGAAAAGTGGATGAAACATTAGGATCTGTAGGAAAGGCAAGAGGGTTTCTATGCAACTGTATAAACCTCCTGTCTGCCCCTGCCTTACTGCTGTGTGTGGTAAGCGTGTCCCCTCAGATGAAAGAGCTTCCTTGCAGGGAGCAACAGGGAAAACTAGGAGAGTCCTGCAGAGCCATGACAGGCCAGAGATACTGGGTGGGGATGAACTGTGCACTCTCCCTTCCAGCATGTGAGCTGGAAGCTATTGATGAAGGTACCAAGCACACAACAGATAATAGGATGTGATTCCTTGAGGTAGTGGAAGAATGTGGTAGAAACAAGATATTTGTTGATGGAGGGCCTGGGTGCATACTTAAAAGAAAGACATTTCTGGGGAGAGTTACTGAAGAGGGAGCCACCTGAGGTAGCTGAAGGGTGAGGTACCTACTGCAGGCTTGCTCAGCTTGCAGCTCAGCCCTGGGGACTTGCTAATGGATGCTCACAGACCTGACACCAGACTAAGTTACTCCCTTTACTGAAATCACTGTGGTTCATGGGTTCAGTCTGGCTTCACTGATATTGGTTGCGCCTTTCATGAGAAGGAAACAGGGAAATCAGCTGTCAGCCAGTTGAGTGCTTCAGGAGAGTGCTTGCAGATCCTCTGCTCCTGCCCAGAGCAAAATCTCATCCCTGGAAGTCTAAAAAATGGCTAAGGTGATGGAGAGAGGAGGCTGTACATTGTTTAGCAGATGAGACTGGAAAATGATAATGGAGACTGGAAATGGAATCGAATCTCTTGTGAGGACATGCAAAGATGAAATGACACCTCTTTATGTGAACAGCTAATTGGGTCTAGATATGTTGGAAGATGCTGTCATTTGCACCTCTCACTGCAAGTGACCCAGCCTTGGGTATACATCTTTTATTTGTATGAGGAGTCCAACTGTACTGTTTTGACTTAATTTTTATTTTCTGTATAGTAGGTGATTACACATGAAAAAGAGTTGCTGATAAAAATATTCTGGCCCTTCAGATCAACCTGATCTGACTGCCTGGTACTCCTTTCTCTGTGGCATTGACTGAGTCATCTCACAAAGGGATGAAGTACCTTGGGCTTCAAAGGTTGGCAGAGCATTAGCATGTGTTCAGCCAATGCTTGAACATGAAGTGGGTGCTGCTGGTGAGAGGCATTTAGCAAGTAGCATGGTGCTTTCAGTGGTGCTTGTGCCCTTCCGGAAGGGGCACTACAGGCACTCCAAGTCAGAATATTCTTAAGGGGAGACTAAAGTCTAATTTAATCTGCCTAAAGCCCAATTACATTGTCTTGAGAGTTCAGTAGGCAATTTCACAAGAAAGCATCCCTGCTCTAACTGATTCTTTTTTCTCTCCTGTGATCTTGGAAAGGTCTGGCATATCTGACATGATATAACTAGCTATTAGAAACATCCTTTTTTACTGAAGGGCAAGCAACACTAAATATTTAGCAGGGTAATAGTGTTTCCCTGAAAACTTAGGGTGCTGGGAAAGTGCTGAATAGCTTTTACTGATGTGGATGCAGGCTTACCACTTATTTGTCTGGTTAGAGCAGAGGCAGAAGAGACTCTGGCTTGGGTCCGAGTAGGAATATTAAGACACACGGTGCTTTGTTCCCAGGATGTTTCTGATTTGTTTGTCTAAGGAAGCCAAACCTCAGTAAAGGGTTGCTTTTTGATTTTTGTGGGCTACTCATCTGGCTGGAGCTGTGAAAGGTGGCAATCCATGATTTACAAAAATGTGTTCCGCTTCTGGAGATGGAAAAAAATGCATTTGCCACATTTAATGCTCCTTGTATATTTTTATCAGAAAACAAAAACATAGCCAGGAAGTACATTCTTAGAGAGGTTGGGTGTGGTAGACAAGACTGCAAAGATATGACATGAACTGCTTGTTCTTCTCGCCTGACTGTTTGCTTATCTGGTTGCCTTTCTTTTAAAAATATATATACTTTCCTATGTAAGGGAAGAGCTGAGGATGATTAAAGTGCAGTGAACATGTAAAGATAAAGATCAGGTTCCTGCAATTAAGTATCTGCCAAAAATAAATCTGTTTTTTTCACACATTCAATTCATTCAAACCAAATACTTCTATTGTTATCTATTACTTTTCTTAAGTGTTTGGTGGAAGTTTTGACCTGAGATACTGATGGCTTGGGAGGGTCATACAACTGACTCTTCATCGAGTTGGTGAAGTGTCATCCAGCCTGCGATAGTGTTAGCTTTTACTTTTCAAGATTAGGACAAAGACCAACACTGTTGTTGTGGTCACTGGCCTGTGCTTGGGTTTAGAAAGGCAAATGGCACTCCAAGATATCAGGATACCATACAAATGCAGTCCCACCTTCCTCCCCTGCTGCCCGTGGGCCTGCAGTAAGGGATCATCTGGTAGCTTCTTGCTATTTTGAGAGAGAGCCTCTCTTAGCATCCTAATACTTTGTCTTCTAGAAGAAATTCAAATTTGAGAGGAGAAAGCCTTAGTTTGCTGGAGGGATGGACTGCTGATATTTCTGCCTCTAAATGAGTCAGAACTAGCCCTGTAATGAAGTTGTTCCTGACAGGTGGTATTGCTCTCTGGGAATGCTTATCTGTATACAAAAACCATATGGGCAGCTCTGTTCCCTGGCAAAATTTCCTGACTGTTACAGGCTAATGGACCAGTGTCTAATCTTAGTGGGTAATTTTTTGATCCAATCACTAATAGCAAAAAACTCAAAACTAATGAAATTGGGAACCACGTCAGTGTAGAAGTGCTATACCAGATGTTGTCTCTTTTCTAATAATGGGGCTTGGGTGTTGCTTTGTTCTTCAGGCACCTATCTTGGTCTTGCTGGTGAAAACTAATATATCTTGTGCTGTGTTTGTTTAGTGTCTGTTTGTTTTCAGTTCTTGTGATTGAGACTGACTCAATAAGTCTTTGTTTTAGCTGATAAACCTTACTCTTAGCTCTGAAAACATGATCTTGGCTGTTTTGAGAAAGTGATTGTTGCACTAACCAACCCATGCTTTACATGTGGTTTTCCCCTTAGTTTCTGGTGAAATTTCTCCCTTCCCCTTTGCTGGTCAGAAAGCCTGAGGGCAAGGTGA